AGTTCATCCACAAACGCCTGGAGAGGACGGTGTCTGACCCACTTTGGGGGGAACACAGATGCAAAAAGAGAGTGTGTGGCGTCTGCTCTGCATACACAATCAGAGGGAAGGGAACCCTGCGGTCCTCGGCAGCCCAGGCCCGAGGAGGGCTGTGGCGTTCCAGAGCAGCCTTTATTAGAAAGGATCGGGTTTTTAACAACCCCAAATGGGGCGCCCCGTGCCGAGCCAGCTGTTCATGGGAGACGCCTGCAGGCATCTGCCGGGGAAAGTTGGTAATGGAACTGAAGTAATGAAGCTGCCGTGGCCCCTTCCAGCCCGAGAGCTCCATGCGGTGAGGCGGGGGCAGCCTCTAGCCATTAGCTTAGGTGCTCAGGCTTGGGCTCTGAAGTCCCTGCGCTGGGCCTGTGAGCACAAAGAACATCCTCTGTGCTGCGTCTCCCCTCAGCGTCCCTGGTCTACCTGTGGCTGGCAGAGGCTAGAGCCCCTGTCCCTCTGTGAGATGGGCCTGCCTTTCATTCTCCCAGCTCAGAGCTTCTTCAAAGTGCGTGCGAGTAGATGCTGGGGGCGGCGGAGCAGAGAGGGCTCCTCTCCAGGCACCACAGCTGGGATGTGGCACAGGGGAGGTTGCCCAGAGCCAACCTGGATGCTTCTAGATCTCACTGTGAAACCCATGTGGACACCCAGTGCCATGCTCTCTTGAGGTAGCTGAGGTCATGTCCCCGGTCTTACGGCCAGCCCTCAGAGAGGCTCATCTTGAGGCCACTCTTGGGATGTGATGGCTGACCAAGATGCTGCTGAAGACGTCACGCTCACTGTGGCTCCCCTCTGCTGCACACTGCGCAGGTGCTGTGCTAACAACAACGTCCCAATCGAGGCCTCGCTGCCACTGCACAGACAAGGAACCTGGCGGAGAAGCCTCGATCCATCTGACCACATTGGGAGTAAACGCCAATTGTCCTACACGGGACGGGGAACAAGGCAAGGAGGTCCAGCGTCACCTCCAGTAGGTGCGCCACCTGGCGCAGAGCAGCCACCGGAGACCTGATTGCTCAGGAATCTGCAGTGGCCACCTGGGAGTGAGCCAGCCAGGTCTGCCAGGGCCAGAACAACAGCCTCACTGCTGGGGACAGCACACCAAGACCCTCCTTCCCCATGTGGATTCAGAAGTATCTGCCACCCAGGCATCCCACACTGACCACTCCCGTCTCCCCAGAACTTACTTGGGGAGCACAAGAAACGAACAGACACTATCACATGTCATCCACGCTTTGAGTTTTCCTGGACAAGTGGTTATTTACAAAGGCCATTTAACCCTTTCAGTGCCATTCTGGCAGAATGAGGGGGCTTCCGAGGCTACTAAGGGGGAGGAGGGCAGAGCAGAGCCCCTCAGAGGAGCTGGCCCGAAGGCTCCTCAGCACAGCTCCAGGGCCTGCAGTCTCCTCCGGCCTCGTTTCAACAGATGGCAGAACTAATTCCTAATTAAGCCCAAGAAAGTTTCCGGCTCAGCACATTTATTTATGATTTTCCGGTCCCTTTGGTGCTCATTCTTCCCCTTTGTCTTCCTGGAACCCAAGCCAGCTTATTTCCAACCCGAGCTCCCCACTTGGTTATTGGGAAAGCATGGCCTCATCTGGGGAGAGAGGAGGGGAAGGGGTGCGGCGGGAGTGTGGGAAGGAGGGAGGGGTGTGTGGGAAGGAGGGAGGGGTGTGTGGGACTCGGTCACACAGCTGCTTTTAAGACAGAATGAAAAGGGAGTTTGTGGCGAACTGACAACTTGGCACAGACTTGAGAGGACAAATAGGCCTTTGAGGTCACTGCCTTTAGGGTGGTTCTCGAAAAACTGCCTGGGGTGAGCTTGGCCCAGAGGCGAGAAACCCTCGTGGGGTCCCTCCCCCATGGAGGGGCTGCCAGTTTTGCTTTGTTTGGTGGCTCCAGGGAGACCTCCATCCCCTTCCTCCCCTCCTGAGCCCCGCTGCGGCCCGGGGCTGAGAGGGGAACACCCCTTCCCTAGGAAGAAACGCTAGGAAGAAAATGCCCCACTGGCTCCAGTGCTGGCTGCTGGGGATGGAACCCTAGACCCAGCTGCGCTTCCGAGTTTACCTAACTGGGCAATTTTTCTTCTGGCAAGAGGGCTGTGTCACAGAAAGGTTCGCTTGTTAAGCCCAGAGGTCTGAGTCTCTCATGGAGAAAAATCACTGCCTCTGCGGTCGCCCCCAGCAGCACTCTGGAGAAAAGGTTTGCCTGAGAGGCTCCTGACATTTGATTATCTCTTGGATCAAAGGGAAAAGAGAGGCAGATGACTTGCTAAGACAACAATGTCAAGACAACAATGTCACCACCAGAAAAACAAGTGCTGTCGACCTTCACGAGCTGGTCTCCACCTCGAGCTCCTGAGGCTGCCAAGAGCCTCTCTTGAGGCCACTGTCACCTGCTCCGCAGCACTGCAGGGCCCCGGGAGCCTCAGGGTGGGAGACCTGGGGGTGGGAAGGGGCTGGGGGAAACAGGAGTCGATTTTCTAAAGCAACTGCCAAGTCTACTGTGAGCCTGACTCTGGGGAAGCAGCGTCTCCAACAGCAGAATGGCAAGGGGCCCGGGCTGTCCCCAGCCGCCTTCCAGGACCCCGGGGCCCTGCTGGCCACAGAACTCAGCTCCTCCTCCGACTGATGCAGGGGTACAGCTGGTCTCCTGCTCTGAGACAATCGCTCTTTATGTGCCCTCAGCCGCCTCTTCTCCTTTTCATAGTCTTCTCCCTTTCAACAAATGTATTGCTCCCCAGACACGGGGAGGAATCTGTCACCCTAAACAAGTACAGGGGTCTTCGGAAGCCATTAACTGTCACTATCCTGGGTGTCATCCCCTCTTGAGCTGTCATGCTGGCTAAAGCAGGAGTGTCCCCTCCACCTCTCCCCACCCTGCTCCTGTCCTCCTGGACGAGGGGAAGGAGACAGAAATCAGCTCAGCTTTCTCCATGCCAGCGCCCAAGGGGCCCTTTCCCCGTCCCCAGTGCTGAGGGGCAGGTCAAGTGCAGCCAGTCCCACGTAGGGTAGGGACCAGACCTTGGGGCTACAGATGTGGCTGCCAGGAGCCACAGGAGCTGGAGCACCAGACTTAGGCCAGGAAGGCAAGGGGGAGAACAGTTTTCTCCAAATCCTGCTTTACTGAGAAAACGCGTTCTTCTGAGACCACCAGGTTTTACCCACTCGGCCTTACCCAGAACTCTCAAAATACTTCATATAAGCAGAGAAACAGGAAGGGTGGACAGTTGAGCCCTGGTGTTTCTGATCCCTGCTGACTCTGACTTCTGGACACAATCCCTCCTGGCACCCAGGGAGGCTCCATTCTAAATCTGTCCTTGGAGCTGGTGGGATCCCCAGGTTCTAAGTAACAATTCCCATCTTCCCCTAGGTAGTCATGTTCATTTAACCTGGGGCTTGGAACTTGTGAGTGCAATTTGGGAACAGCACTCACTGGTGAGTACGTGACCAGACAGACTGAATGGAGCAGATGCAGACTTCCGCCCTGTCCAGGGATGGACAGGTGTCCTCCCGCTCCCTCGTGTCAGCTGGATGGCCAAGGACGGGCTCGGCCCAGATGATGTGCCCCTGTGGGGGCCTCACAACTCATCTCCATCCTGCTCTCATCTCCTTGCAAGGACAAACCAAGAGGGCAAAAAAGTTACAGGCTGGTGAGCGTGGCTCAAGACAAGGAAAACCTTCCCAGCACTGACATACACCCCTCAGAGCGGAGTGTGAGCCTCATGAGCTCTGGGCCCCAAAGGCCACCCTGTGCTCTGTGCTGTACAGCCTGCTCCCAGAGGGGCGAGGCCCGGCTACCTGACTGCTGTGGCCCCTTCCAACTAAAGATGCCAAGACTGCTGTGTACGGAGGTTCCTTACACTGACATCTTGTAATCCCCTAAGTCTGGGGAACCAGGGGAATTGCAGATGTCAAGCTGCTGGAAGTCATTTAGACCAGAAAGTGTCCTCGGCGACCATGACCCACTGCTGAGTCCTGGCATGGAATCAGGATCAGCGTCCACCCCCAGAGTCTGGATGAGGGTAGAATGGGCAAGCGCAGTGGGAAAGGGGGCTGGGGAAGGTGGTCAGGAAGGAGGAGCCCCAACCTTGGCTCCTCTAGAGCCAAGTGCCTCTGTGCTGAGAGGCAGGCGAGCTCCTGGAGCCTGGACACACCCACTCTGTCCAGGGCCCTCTATCACAACAGCAACAGCCTTCTTAGCTTTTAGATTGAGCAGAAGAGGGGTCCAACGGACGCCCAAAGCCGTGCTGGCCACAGAGGCCCCACCTGCTCCTGTCCTCCGTCCAGGTGGATCGGCAGCCGGCCCTTTCCCTGAGGTGGCTGGCAGGATGGTGTGGCAGAAGTGGACCAGCCCCCAACCACCAACCTGTCTGGGGGAATAGACTCCCCAGACCGCAGCTGAGGACAATGGCGCTCATGTGCAGCAGGGTGTCCGTCGGTTAGAAGATGCTGTGGAGGGGGTGTCTTTTCATGCCCTGGTGGCCAGAGACCCAGGGGCAGAGAGTGGCTGCTACCACAGCCCGCTGGCTTTTATGGTTACGCCGCATAGCACACTCACAGAATGCAGAGCCGCGCTGCTCCCGTACCATGAAGAGCCCAGCCCAACCCAGGCTTTTGGGAGCCCCCCCGCCCGCCTGTGGGTCAGTGGGCACCCAGCATGGTTGTATGAGAAAGAAGCTGGTCCTAGAATCAACAATCCTGGCTCTAGCCCCAGCTCCATCCACACTATGTGACGTCGAAAAAATCATCTTTTTCTGGTGCTAAATTTCCCCAGCAGTAAAAGGCAAGCTGAGTATCTGCCCCTCCTTGTCCTTTGGAAAGGTGGGAGGACCAGACAGGCCTGAGTCAATGGAAACCACAACCACTCTCCAGCTACGGCTGGGGGCTCTGCACGGCCTCTCGCGAAAGGAGAGGGAAGGGACGAGAGGAGAAAGCGCACAGACTCGAGCTGTTTCTCAGACTCACCGATCCATCTCATCAGAGAGGTCAGGATCTGCAGGTACTTGGTCTTCTGGACGTCAAAGAAGGTGAATGGTCCGAGGAGGAGAGTGAAGATTGCCTGGGGGATGGAAACAAGAGTAAGGGGGATGCAGGCTGCACTCGCAGACCGTCTGCACGGGGAAGACGCTGCTGCTCATGTGGCCTCTGCCCGCAGCTAAGGCCGGGCCTGACTGGGCACACCTGGACTGGCAGAGGCTCCCTGGGGTCACCTTGGGTAAGTGCCAGCGCCAGGGGTGGAACAAGAGCTCCAGAGCCATGCTTCCCTGCTGCTGCTCACATGGACTGTGCCGACAATGCTGTGCCTCCTCGGCAAGGCCCAGGTGTTGTTCCAGGGATGGAACATCCTGCTCTCTTCAGCAAACACAGATTGAAGATCCACAACGTGCCCACCCTCGAACTGCCCATGAGCATGGACTAGAGACGGAATGGCAAGAAGGATCCAAAAGAAGCACCAGCCACGTCTCAGACTTGGTTTACTGGGAAGAAAGGACACAGTGGGGAGGGGCCCCAGGAGCCCTGACGAAGCCTGGCAGGAGAGGACACTTCTTCTGAAGCGCTTGGAGAGGAGTGATCGGGATATGCATGGGCCACGTTTTTGGCTTCGAGAGGAGAAGCCTGGAGAACGAGAGCCCCTGGCTTTCAGGGCAGGCCCCTTGGAAGTACCCAGGATGACCAAAGAAGGGAGGTGCATCTAGGAAAACCAGGACAAGGAAGTCCTGGGCTGAGAACGGGACCCAGGCAGAGAAGGGGGTGCTGATCGGCACGGATCCTCTCGTTTCTCTTTGGAGAACGGGGGAAAGTGTTGACTTAAAAAATGAAAGTCAAACTCTGTCTCAGAAAACTGGTCTGTGGGAAATGGGAACCTTCTTTGCAAAGGAAAATGGGGGTAAACGTGACAGCAGAAACTGGGGTGTGGGGAAGGTTAGGATTTCCATGCCAAATTGGTTGCTCAGGAAGTAGAGGAATTAAGAGCTGCTCATTGCAGTTAAGATGATGGTACCATTTCCAATCTGCCACTCGGAAGCAGTGTGAGGCATCAGACCTTATTAACATTTACACAGTGCCATTTTATCACGTTAATGCTAATGACGCTCACCAGAGATGCGGCAGGCGGCTCGGAAGCCTGAATGAATGTGGGGAGAGGGCCCACTCAGGGAGTCGGGCTCTGGCCTGTCATCCGGGTGAATCCATCACAGCTGCTCAGCCCTCGGCCAGCCCCTGTGGCTGGCAGGCGGGAACCCCGTAGAAGGGGAACTGAGCCCGCCCTGCACCGCCCCCCCAACCTCTGGCCATAAGGAGGGCAGGATGTGGGAGAAGCTGTGACCCCTTATCCAAGTCCATTATCACTGAGAGGATGAGTGACACGGAGGAGTGAAGTGCCGCTTAAGGAAAGGCTCTAATTAGCTGGGCTGGAGAAGGCGACCTGGCAGTCACCAGGCGCGAAGGACTTTGGAAAGAAGAGCTTTCTGCTGGGGGCCTCAGAACTGGCCCTGCTTCCACTCAGAAGAGGGGAAAGAAGTCTTTCTATTAGGCTTGGGGAGCGGGGCGGGGCAGGGCAAGGCAGAGGAAAGGGCTCTCCTTGCAAAAGCAATGGAGAGCCTCCGCTGTCCCCTCAGCCCAGGGAGAGGAGCTGGGGACACGGTAACGCATGCAGAACGTTAACTCTGGCAGAGCAGGTCTGTACGCAGCACCATCAGTAAGTCATTTAGGAAAATTACCACTTCAGGGAAACTTTCCACTGATGAATTTCTCTTTTGAAGGATGAAGAGGGAGATGTCAGGTAGAAGAATGCATAAACACAGAGCCACCTGCCACAAATGTTTCCAAGTAACTGTGGTCTGCCGGAAACTGGACTCCTGGTGTGCCCGGGTGTTTGGACAGTTCGCCTCTGACTTCCCACTGAAATCATGGTCTGTGGGGGCTGGAGATCTTGGGGGTGGCTTACGTGGGAGGTCAAATCTCATCTCAGAAACCTAAAGACTGGTTTTTAGAAGGTTCTACACCATAAAAATAGAGGGGCAGCAGAACCACCCCCAAAGGCAGGCAGAGAATGCTCCTGCAGGCTGCCTGGGTCCTGTCCTCCAGGGGCCCTGTCCATGTCTGTCCTTGTCCTCGGCAGATGCTTGTCAAGATCCTAGGACACAAAAGGTCTCATTCTGTAAAAGCCTGTATGGATGAATCCCAGCCCGCTGACAGCATCCCTCTATTTAATCAGACGCACCTCTGAAAGGTATTGTAAGTGGTATATGTGAGGTGCCACTTGAGTGACCAGGAATATGAATCTAGAGGAGTCGAAATGAAGGTTCACACCTGCTTAGTGTTCTCAGACCCAGTCCTGAGGACAGCAGGTCTGTCCTCAGCATGGGAACTAGCAGTGAAGGACTCTTATGGAAGATCTGGCCAATGGCTGCAACGTCCATAGATGGATGATGGTTGGAATGTGGCTTCTTTTTCTTTTAATGCTCAGGAGTACAGACCGACCATAACACTTGGGAAGGCTCAGGGCCCACTTAGTCACAGCAAACATGCACAGACTGCCAAACAGCAGCCCTTCCATGGGCCTGCGAGCTCACGCATCAGAGAGCACCCAGATGAAGACACAGACTGCGAGCTGGGGCTAATTAAGGAACAGGTGTCCTCTGCAAATTACTTAGAGCCAGAATTCAGCAACTGCAGGAGCAGGCATCCGGAGTGACAAAGGATGAGGACAGAGGCAGTGGCACACGCTGCCGCGCCACGGTGTGGCCGCTGAGGTCTTGTGGAGGGAGGGGGGCGGGAGAAGGCATAGCCCCTGTCTCCAGATGGTCTAGCCGGGGCAGTGTCCATCTCTAAATGCACAACAGCCAAGCGTGGTACTTCGTGTTTTCTTTCCTTTTTGAAAAAGGAGACATAAAAAGCCAAAGAGACAGCCTACTCTCTTGGGTCTTCCAGTCTAGCCCATATGACATTATAAATTAGCTGGCTCCCGAGCAATTTTCCAACCCCCAAATGCCATTGATCAGTTCAAACTCAGTCTGCTCAAGGACTCTCGTAGCCCAACTCATTACAGGAGGCAGAGACACGAGTCGCTGCAGCCAAGCACATTTCTAAAAAAAAAAAAAAAAAAGAAAAAAGAAAAGAAAAGAAAAAAGAAAACTCTGATTTCTAATAAAATCTTCAAACTGGTCATGGGAAATAAAGTCCGGATGGACCCAGGAGGGTACAAATGGGTCCGTTCAGATCCTCTTTCTTTTTGGGTCAGTGAGTTTAGATGACACCAGAGGCCCCACAGCAGCCTTGCTGAAGTCTTGATGGAGACAAGGAGGTTCACATTCCCAGGGCAATGCAGGCAATGCTCGGCCACAGCTCTTTCAGAACATTCTGGAGTCTACAGCTCAACAGGGCTGCCTGTCCTCCTGTGTCCCTTACATGCACTGCCCACCTCCAGTTGCCCAGGCTCCAGAGTTCCAGCAATTTCTGACTCCTTCCTTGCTTTCTACATTAGGTTCCTGGGGCTGCTATTACAGATGACCACAAACTGGGGGACTTCAAACCACAGATACGTGTTCTCTCCCAGGCCAGAAGTGCCCTCTTGCAAGGCAAGGCTCCCAATAGCACCCCCCACAGGACAGAGCCCAGCTCTAAATACGCATTAAAGATGGGGCTGACAGGGAGGAGCCGTTTCTCCAGATGCCACCAGAAATGAGATTTAACCACAAAGCAGGGAGTAAAGAGAGCACCTAATCTCAACCCCAGCCTTCTGTCCCCTGGACAGAATCAGTGACTCAAAGATGTAGGGAAGGGACCCTGCAGCCTCACGGGGACCTGTTGTGAGCTGTGCCTGGAGATTCCCTGGACAGGACATGGCTTTGCTGAGGACCCGGAAGTACAGACACTTGTGCCTGCTTGAGCAGCCTGGCATCTGGGTACCAAAGGCTCAGTCACTAACTGGAGCCTCCACTTTCCTCTTGAAGTTGTTTGGAACAGACTGAAGAGTCAGCTGCCCAGCTATGGAATGGGAGAAACAAATGCTGTGCCACTTCTGAGAATGGATCTTTACATCAAGAACGCTCAACTCACGCCTGCTGAGGCTGAGCCGTGTCCACCACCTGCCTTCCTCCTCTCCAGTTCTAACCCTACAGCACACGGCACTTACAGAAGAAAGGCTCCGACTCAGCCCGCTTCTGTGTCATATACAAAAGGAGCCCAGGATTGGGCAACGTGTTATGCCCTTTGTTTAACTGCACCACACAGGAGCGTGTGAGTGAGGGTGTCAACATCAGAGCACAGAAGTAAAGCGGGTAGACACTTACCTCCCCATCCCCAAATTTCTCTGCCTATTTAGCTGGTCAGAGAAACAAAATGAAATTTTAAACTTGGTGCCAATCTCAAATTAAACACCCTGTTTAACACACTGTACCATCTCTGGGTCCTACCCTCTGCCTGCAGATCTGTCAGAGCCAATCCCAAGGCCGCATCTTCCCAGCCACTGGTCCTTTGATCGGCCCTGCCCTGTGCTATCAAAGCTGCCCTGTGATAACACTGCTACCCAAGCTGCAGCCCCTCCACACTCTGCCAAGTGCTAACACACACGGTTTCATTTCATGCTCATGACCCCCTGCAAGGTCACTGGTGCAGGTGACGATGCCCTCATCTTACTGATGAGGAAACTGTGGGGGCTGGAGAGGTTCAGTGACACAGCCAGAAAGCGCCAGAGGGAGAAGGGAAGGTCCCCCTCTCTGGCACCCCGTTCCCACATTTTCAACCTCATGCCTTCACCCTCCTGCTGGCAAAGAATCTTCCCCTGTGACCTTCCTCACTCCTACCCGCTTCTGAGCCCTGTTCAAGTGCCAATCTCCTCTGCAAGCTATTTTAATCATCCCTGGGGGCTCTTGACTGAATTACCAACACACAGTTGATACCACCTGACTTCATTCTGGTGGGCTCTGAACTGCTGCTTTCTCTTGGGTTGATTTTGTGTCCCCAGCAGAGTGTAAGCCCTTTGAGGGCAAGGACTGCATTCTTGTTTGTGGCAGCACCTAGGAAGGCTCTCAAACATGGGATGCTCACAAAAGCTTT